ACAACATTCTTTTGTTCACCATCCACCCTGAAGACCTCAGAGAACCTGGCAACCCTCCAACATTCCTCACGCTACTGTGGACGTTGTGGGCCGAAGCTGATCTGAGCACAAATAGGTCGCACTCAGCTCTCCACCAAACTACTCACCGTCAACGTCCTTAAACGCTGCGCCGATCGAACACCTTCCACCAGGCGAATCGTGACGGTCTATATTCTCGAATCGAAAACATCAATCCTTGTACGAGTAGCTATACTGCAGCCATGTCCGGCATGTTCAAGAGTCCTTTTGGGGCAAACGCCAATCCTTTCGGAGGACCTACCGATGGACCTCCCGCAGGAGGCAATGCCATTCACCGTGTAATCGAAGAGGAAGAGAATGATACTGTTACTTCTCCAACATCACCAAATTTCGGTATGAATACTGGTATGACGTTCAACGGCCCATTCGGTGGTGATGCCGCAGACGACGCTCCGCCTTCTGCGCTGAGGAGCCCACCGAACCCCGAGAGCTACCCTGCCCAGTACAATTTTGGCCGCCGAACCTCGGTTTCTGCTGAGTCTCTCAAGCCTAGTGCCGACACATACGACAATTGGTCGCCTCCTTATCACGAGAAGACCAAAGAGCAGTTGGGTCGTTTGCAAACTGCCATTGAGGGTAATTTCTTGTTCTCCCACCTAGATGAGGAACAGAGCGGCCAAATTCTCGGTGCGCTGAACGAGAAACCCATTCCCGCCAAGGATATCAAGGTAAGTTGAGTCGATAAGATAATGTTCTGGAGCTTCCTAACACTCTGCCACAGGTTATTAGCCAAGGCGACGCGGGCGACTTCTTCTATGTTGTAGAGAAGGGTTCCTTTGACGTATATGTCAACAACAGCGGTACCTTGCAGCCTGGCCCCGAGGGCATGGGTCAGAAAGTCGGAACCATCCAGGCAGGGGGCTCATTTGGTGAACTGGCCTTGATGTACAATGCTCCCCGAGCTGCGACTGTCATCTCTGCCGAATCTGGATGCACCCTTTGGGCGCTCGATCGCCTGACGTTCCGCCGTATTCTCATGGAGTCGACATTCGCTCGGCGACGGATGTACGAGAGTTTCCTCGAAGAGGTTCCTTTGTTACAAAGCCTTACGCCGTACGAGCGGTCCAAGATTGCCGACGCACTGGAGACTCAGAAGTACGCTCCTGGAGAAACCATCATCAAGGAGGGGGACCCAGGTCACGCATTCTTCCTTCTGGAAAGCGGCGAGGCCGATGCCTACAAAGGCGGGGTCAAGGAATCGGTCAAGCATTACAGCAAGGGAGATTTCTTTGGCGAACTGGCGCTTTTGAACGATGCCCCTCGCGCCGCTAGCATTGTCGCGACGACGGATGTCAAGGTTGCGAGTCTCGGCAAGAACGCCTTCCAGAGACTTCTTGGCCCCGTTGAGGGCATCATGAGACGGACAAAGTACGAGGAGGTCAAGACTGGTGTCGAGGAGATGGACCCGCTTCAAGCGGCCTGAGATGAACCTGAAGATATTTGATTTTGCGTATGATCCAAGTTTGGATGGCAGACATTGGGAAGGTTGAAGAGGGTGAATGTCAAGATTCACAACGGCGTTAGGCGGAACCCCCTACCCATCGCTCCCTAAGAGACACGGCAAGTGACGTCCAGATACCTGTTAGTAAAGATTATATTTCTTCCACGGTGCACGAAGACGTGACGTTCGTAAAAATCAGTGTTCCAGGTGGTATCATTGGTTTGGTATCTTCATTGGTACAGCTGCAGCGGGGTGCGGCACTCATGATGCGCTGCCTCGCTACGGTATATGCATAGTGCGGTGCGTCTCAGCCGCCCCTTACCCTCATTTCTTCTAGGACTTCTCGTCTCAGTTGCTCGACTGCAATCTCAGTTTCGAGCGTCCTTCCGACGCCCTTCTTCCAATTCTCCTCGAGCCCCTTCATCTCTGCTGCTACTTCTTCCTGCTGGCGTCTCCGGGCGACGGTCAGCACGTCAATGAGACGCTTCGTTTCGGCGAGGTCACGCTCGAAGCCTTTCAGCTCATTTTCGAGTCCCCAATTGCCGATCAACCACGCATTCTTTCCCCATTTGTCCAACAAGTTCAGATTTTGAGCACGAGTATCGAGGTAGGCGTAGGATATGTAGGCCTTCTGGAGTGAATCGGCGAGGCGAACACGATCTTCTGCTGTAGATGGCGCCACGGAGTCAGGGAAAGGCTCTTGTGTTTGATAACGCTCGAGATCGATGGCTTTGAGGGGCTGCTTGGAGGCGACGCGCTCCAGCTCGAGTTCGACGAGGGGGGAGAAGGAGGGTTCTTTGTAGTTTGGCGCAGGCGCCGGGGCAAAGGTGGATAATTCAGCTCGGATTAGGGACTCGGCAGCTTCGCGCTCTGCTGGCGTGGGCTCGTCATCAATATCTGCGGGCGTTGTTCATTAGTCGGTGGATATGCGCGGCAGATGGTTGGAATAACAAACGTACATGGCAGCGACTCGTGGAAGGCATTCAACGTAGACATTTTGGAGGTGCTCCCAACAAGGACTTCCCAGCCGGAGAATAAAGATAAAGACAAATTCGGGTCTGTCAAGCGGTCCGTATTGCCGGTGGAGGGGTTCGGAGGGGTTGATAGTATGGGCGATTGTTGTAGTGGTAGATGTCTTTGCTGGTGTCAAACGGGCGCGAGGCTGCCGCGATCGTAGTTCAGAAATTTGGAACCGTGGGACGACGCATTGACGCACATTGGATACCCACATACTTTACCTTAGCTGCCCGATAAGAAGATAAAGCCGGCTACAAGGAAGAAGGGCCAGTGCGTACATTTGGCTTTGTGGAATCGGGTGCACAGGCCATCCCGCCGTCGATCATTGGTCCGGGGTGCGAAGCTTGCGAGAGGTCCACTCACACAAACGCAACGCTTGGGCAGCCAGATTGCCTAGGCAGGCAAATCAGCCCTCTTCAGCAGTCGACTAGCGACGCTTCAGCGCTAGCGGGCTGAAAAGGTCCCCTGGCTTTAGGGAACCCCACCCGCCGTCTGCTGCCCCGAGTGCCTGGGCTGGACTCGCTCTACGCAATCCGTCCCGACTTTCCAGTTCTATGACAGGCGAGCACGCAAGACATCGATTAACTTGGCAGATGCATGATGGGACGACGCGGGACCTGACGTGCAGGCATGGCGTTAGTCGACGATGGCTTCTTGCCTTGCCCCACCGGGACCTTTCTTCTTTCTGGCTTTTCTTCAACAGCGCTGGGCTTACTAAAAGGCTGACGCAAGATGCTAAAAATCTGCACTTGCCTGATGAAACTGGTTGTTTTCTTTGACAGAAGCAAGCCTATATTTATCCGAGAAACATGACAACACCTGAACCACCACAGAGGCGTCGACGATAGCGGAATGGAAGCGTTCATTACGCCTTCATACCTTCTAGACAGCTTCCACGTGGAAGCAGGCGTAACTAAGCTCTCCCAATCTCGTTTTTTTCTCGGAATGAACGTCTTCCAGAGAGTCTATCGCAACGCATTTCCACCGATCGAAGACTATTCAACATTACCAGTAGATTCTCCCATCCACACACAGTACCTAGAAAACCGGGACGAACTATTCAGCTAGAATTGCACCCGCGCCCCAGGTTCGATCCACTCAAAAGTCATCGTCTTGACGCTTGGTTCCTGATCGCTCTTCGTTCGTCGTTGCCGAGGCGCTTTCCCATTCCGTCGCCAGTAAGTCGTACAGGACGGATATGGCGGATGGTGATCCGGAATGTAACCCGGGGGCCTGGAGCAACCCAAGAGGCGACAGTTGCGAGACGTCGTCCGCCCGTCAGTGGTCCGCTACCCCGAGCTATTTGACCTTGGTGTTCCATCCGTGCCTCGCCCCCGTCGGACTATAGAAATGTGGCTGTCACCGGCCTTGCCGGAAGCAGTGGTCCGAGTACGCTCTGTTCGCGATTCCAGCCTGGATCGTCATCTTCTCATCGAGTCTCCACCACGTGAGGGGGCTAAGAGGCGGCCGCCTCTTTGGCTTAGTGTGGCGCGCTCCTGGCTGAACTATCGCATGCGGCACATCATGTTGTTGAAAGGAGGTCAACTCGGGAACTGCGAAGGATGAAGTCGCCTACCCTTAAATGTCGCTGGCAAAGCCAGCGATGAGTGCCCCCTTTTGTGGTTTGTTGTTTTGTTGTGGACGGTGGCTAGAGAAGAAGAAAAAACGTGACAAACGGCCTTGTGATACCAATGCTCCTTCTTTAAGAAGCAGATATCCCCATTGATACGATCCAGGGCCCTAGGAAGGTTTTCTCGAACTTTATTTGTCGACAAAACGGTCTCACCTCGGATATCATGAGGTTTCCACTGTCTTTTGCCTTTTTGGTAGCTGCGCTACTAGTTGTTACGGCCGCAGCTCAGAAAGTCAATAGCATCACGGATGCTGTAGCCCAGCTACCTACATGCGCGGTACGGTTTCTCTTGTCTCTAAGTTCGGTCCGCCCACCTCTAACTTTGCTCTAGGTTACCTGTATTCTATCGGCTGTCAAGGACTCACCGTGCGGGTTGACGAACACGACGTGTATCTGCAACGATGCGAAGTTCGAGTCGGATACGGAGACTTGTATAGTTGGAGCATGTAGTATCAAAGACACACTTCGTCAGTCATGCCTTTCTGCTTCATTCTGAGTGGCATATGCTAATAGCCTTCAGATGCCAAAGCTGTGTTCGAAACCACTTGCGATAAGCCTGTCCGAGATCACAGCGCGGAATATGTCCGACTTACGTGGGTCCTGCTGGGGCTCACCACCTTCGTGGTTGCAGCCCGCTTGATTTACAAATATTTCTCGTCAGCACAGCTCGGGCTCGATGACATGTTCACCTTTCTCGCCTACCTGGCCGTTCTTCCATCGTTTATCATCAACCTCGTTGGAATTCTCCCCGCCGGCCTCGGCAAAGATATATGGACCCTCACACCACATCAGATTGAGAGCTTCGGTTATTGGTTCTACATCCTAGAGCCAATGTACTTCGTACAGATGGGCCTTGTCAAAATGGCGATTCTATGCTTTTACATGCGCATTTTCGACCGCGCTGGACTTGGAAAACTACTCTGGGGCACAGCTGCCTTCAATGCTGTCAACACCTTCGTGTTCCTCATGGTTGGCATTTTCCAATGTACACCTATCCACTACTACTGGACGAGGTGGGACGGCGAGCAACAAGGCACCTGCATCAACATCAATGCAGTTCCGTGGGCGAACGCTATTATCAGCATCTTACTAGACTTGTGGATGCTGTATCTTCCTTTGTCGCGAATCCGAACTCTCAATCTACACTGGTGGAAGAAACTAGCCGTCACACTTATGTTCTGTGTCGGTACCTTGTAAGTTCTTACTGAATTCATGGCTGACAGCGTAGACGTTGTGCTAACATCGCCAAGCGTAACTATAGTCAGTATTTTGAGACTTCAGTCGCTTGTACGGTTCGCGAGTTCATTGAACCCTACATGGGATCAATTCGATATTGCATTCTGGACATGCCTCGAGGTTCCTACCGGCATCATCTGTTGTTGTCTCCCGGCCATCCGTCTCATTCTCATCAAGGCCTTTCCCAAACTCTTTGGAATGCTCACCAAGCGCTACGACACACAAAAGTATGCGGAATCCCCGTCGAGCGCTGCGGATGGGAGCCGAAGCACGAACCGCATGTCTCGTCCTCTCGGCGACTCTTCGACCACGGAGCTGCAATCAGCCCTGCGAGGCGGCAAAGGCATCGTTTGCACCAAGCAATTCGCGCTGGAGACACACGATACATCGAGTCTCTACGCGATGCAAGATCTCGAGTCCGGGAGTGCCAAGAATAGCCTTTCACAAAGCCACCGATCAACGTCGATCTCGCACACTTCAAGCGGTGTCTCGGATTACGGCGCGCCTGGACGGAAACAGTCTGGTCCCTCCGAACACTAAGCAAAACTTAGCATCGGTCTTTGAATAGGGAACGGTACCCGGAAAAGCATAGAATCTAGACGACTGGAATTGATGGTTAGCGGCACTTCAAGAAGCGCGCAAGACTTTTTATTGCATATTCTACCTTGTCTTTTTCCAGATAGAGACAATGCGCAGGCGTTAGGAGTCATTTCGGACTATTTATTTTCATGATTTAATACCCAGTCATACATGTACCATATCGAAATCCACGGGAAAATAAGAGAAGAGCGCTCCATGAGAAGATGACAATCAGCGAATGAGAAGACCGTCATATGACGTTTTGGAGTGAAAGTCCGGAGATGTAAACTCGCAAACACTGTATCTCCGGGCATAGCAGAGAACAAGGAAAAATTAAACATTTGAAATATCCTGGCCACTCTAACCGTTCTTGAATTTGGCTGGGCATTATTTGTGGTGATGCAAACAGCTTACAGCTTACAGCTTACAGCTTACTTCCCCCCTGCTTTGTTCGTACTTAACGATGTCATGACAGCCATCCATTCAATCACAAACATCCCTCAAGGGCTTCTGGACTCTAGTAGCTCGGATTTCCCGTCGCAAGTCATGTTTCTACTTATACGAATACGAACGCGAACATCCGGGTAGGTTGCTGGCGCTATGGGCCTACTTCACATGCCGCTACTTGGAAGCTACGCATATCCGGGGTTCTGGATCTGATGCCTTTGATCTCAATCCCAAATTGCGAGCTTGATCACACCTACTACCTACCTGGTACCCAAAGAAAAACTTGAGCTGCCATTCCCATTTGCGGTTTGAAACGCTGTAAGAACCACGGAAAGCGCGTTGATTGCATCCTTCCTCTTTTCATATCTTAGAGCGGGAGAGGCAGGCGCAGGTCAGGCAGGCGCAAGTCAGGTAGTGGCTCCTTCCTGCGACTGACATGCAAAGGAAGCCCTGCCCTTCTGGAAACCTGTACATAGCAGTCTGAGAAACTTCTGTCGTATTCTAAGGTACCGTGAATTGCTTCTCTCACTTGGCCTTCTCCAATGAACCATCACTCCAAGTACCTTCCATGATTGATGCGTATTATACCCTCCCAAAGCAATACGCATGATGTCGGCTCCATCCATCCAGGCATTCTATCAAAGGGAGGTTCCCACTACGCTCCAGGATGCTTCGAGAGATAGGATGGGATTTTCGCGAGTCGATGGCTTCACACAAGCAGAAGTCGAGTCTGGACACAATCCCCTTGGCCGAATCTGGAACCCATCAGAAGAGTACTTGGGGGTGCAAATTGGACAAATTGAACCAGGCCCGAGTCGGATACGTTTCACCGGCCGCGTCGTCAACTACACACCGGCTCTTCTCGACGCCAAGAACAACTACAGCCGTCCGGCACATCAGCTGATTGTCGTTGATGGAACTGGTGCAATAGCAGTATTTACGACCTCCTCTTCTCGCATGCAATTCCTTCAAGAAGAAACATGCTGATTACTTTACATAGGTTAAGGTAGTTCCAATCGGAATTCCAGCATCACTTCTTGTGATAGGACAGCTCGTCACCATATGGGCTACTTGGGTAGGATCCACAGGAGGTTCACATTATGCCAGCATTCCATATGTGACCACATGGACGCCCATCAATCCTACGGACGTTGGAACAAAGCAGTTCATTCAGTTTCTTCCGGGCACTGTTGGAAATCAACAACTCTACAGAACGCCTTTGGAATGCGACCGAGGCAAACATGAACTCAAACCGCTTCCAGGCTTGATGACTCTCTGTCAATACCTCAAAATGGGACACGAAACTTCAGGGGCTCGGATTATTGTCTGCGTCAAGAGCATTGGATCTCGGAAACGTGTGAAGTCGCAAGACAGATTGAGAGAGTGGGAACTTCTCGACATCACTGTTTGGGACGACACCGCCAGCTGCGTATTGACTCTTTGGGAAGACAAAGCCCACTCCGCCAGGTTTTGGAAGCCCAACGAGACCATGCTACTCTTTACCAGTCCGAAGTTTGTACCCCCTTCCGACAACAAATCAGCAACCTTGAGCGCCAGTATCGGTCTTGATCACAATACCTTGATTGAGGTCGATCCGGACTTCCAGGATGCCAACTGGCTTCGAGAGTGGGTGAAGAAGAGAGTCAAGAAGGAGAGTGTCTATGTGCCGTTCCCCAAAGACATATGGAATGCAGAAGAAGCTGTCCATGGGCCAGTCCGGGCGCTCTTTACCCTGGCCGAGGTGGATGACTTCGCTCGCGCCGACCCGGCCAGTGACTTCACCGGCAAGTTGAACCTTATCATACTCGGTATAGACCTTCTGGGTCTTCATCGCAGAAAGATGCTTTGCTGTATAGAGTGGTGAGAATGAACCCTTCCTCTTTGAGTCAAGTCTACTCGTAGAAATGGAGGAGGGCAAAACAGCTGACGGATGTGCCTCCTCTAGTTGTGGAGTTCCCCTATATGCAAACCAAACGTCCGCGACTTGCAAGAACTGCTTGCAGGAGAAGTCTCTCGTTCTTAACCCTCGAATCATGGGTATCCTGGCAGACGAAACAGGTTGCGTTGCACAGGGGAAGCTTGTCTGGAGTGACCAGGCCTGGAGCGAGCTCTTCTTCCCCGCCTTCGAGTCGAGTGACACGGCGAACGCGGAGCCGGAGGTAGCGGGCGAGGCGAAGATACTTCAGTCTTCGCCCCGTCCTGTCGCTTCGTGGGAAGAGCTTACCTTGAAGGATGCCAGTGGACTCCGAATCTTGGAGGAGCAAATGCTGTACGCTCGTTTTACTTTGACATTCGGCTAGTCCCCGTTTGTCGAACGGCTGTGTGTGCTTGGAGTTGAGTGGTGAAGGGTCCGTATTTTCCAAGAGTGGCTCAAAAGCGGGGGTTGCAGTTCTGTTTCGTCATGGTGTTGGTTGTGTAAAGGGGTGCTCAGCTAGCGATGAGGGGCTAGGACGAGGAACTCAGAAGACATAGCCCGCGTGTTCAGAGGGATGTAGAGGAAGGCAGATACGGCAAGGATTTCGCTCTCAGATGGCGCGTATGATGGCAAGCGATGTACATGGTGGCTTGCCAACTGTTGCCTGCTCCTATCACACTGAAATGAAATTGTTCTAGCACGTGTGTGTTATGTGGAAGTGACGGCGTATTGATGCTTTGCTCAGGCTGATGTGATCATGCTCTGTGCTAGGAGGACGTCGCTGCCCAGCAGCTTGGATTGGTCCCAAGTTGCTGGGTGCGTTGAGAAGATTCACGTTTCGATGACCTTTGTTGCTCAAAAGCTCTGAACAATTGGCTTCTGAACCCAGTGATTCCTGACATTCGTTCGTGAGTTGGTGGCTTTCTGTCCGGCGTACGTGTACGGTAAGTAAGGGATCGCTGTAGGTTTTGGGCTACGTCCGTGATTCACGTTGACCTGTCCGCAAATGTGCTTGTTACATTCCCGTGAGCGGTCGTGAGAAGCTATGATGGGAATTTCGAAGCCAGAAGACTGGCGGCCAATCTACCCTCAACAGCGTCACGAAGTAACGGCATCACTTCTTTCGGATGAAGTGTGTCGTAATATCACAGGCACGTGAATCGTCACGAGCAGATATGGCAAATGGATTGGTACAAGGCATGGATCTATTACTTAGACCATTGGCCGTTTGATTTGTGATAATACAAGGGCGATTCTTTCGTCGCCAGGTCATAATAAGTTCGTGATGCATACTGTCATCCGCCACCGAGGCAGTCAATCTTCTGAGCGGAGATCCCCCTAGATCCCCATTCTGTTCCTCGAAATACAAAGCCATATGTCGCCGAATCCGTTTCGAAAAGAGAGATAATTGAAGCAAATAACAGAATGTCCTCCCATGCATATTGTAATGTGTGTTTGTGTTGTAGTGTTTGTTGTTAACATGGTTCGTAGGACGAACAAGAGAAAAGCCGTAAAGTGAACATTGACTGCCTTGCCGGATAGCGGATATGAGAGTGATTGCACCCGAGTAAGAGACATCACGCAGTCGTATAATTAGTGCTTGGTGATCTTCTCATCACCGTAGGCGGAAGAGCGACCACTCTCAGAGGACTCAGTCTTGGTGAGGTCCTCGCCATCTTCCTCGGAGGGGCCGTGTATGGACTCCTCAAAGACGGGCTCGGGTTCGTTGACGTCGAACTTGGTCTTGAAGGCGCCGATGTTATCAGCGAAGCCACTGCTGTTGGTGCGGCGGCGAGCGTTGGTGAAGCGGAAGTCCTCATCAATAACTTCCTCGCCAGCGTTGCCCCTATGAGACATGAGAGTCAGCAATTGGAACATGTTCAGTCAAGCTGACGTGCATTGGCAGGAAACGGCAGAGCTTTGAAGTTGCCAAGAAGGGCGTGTGTAAGTGGGGTAGAGAGGGTCCAAACTTACCAATTGCTTCTACCGCCTCCATTCTTCTTCACCTTCTTGGGATCAACGCCCTCGTGGCCGTGCTTCGCAAAGTAGCGAGGCAAGTGCTCTTGGGGAGAAGCAGTTCCGTCGGCCAAGCCGGCGTGGTCGCGGTCGTTGTACTTGTGAGATCGAGTCACTAACACGAGTATATTAGTCGAAGATGCCAAATGTCATGCTGCTGCGAGAACTGGGACGAAGACACAAAGATTCAAGAGTTGAACGCTGTCTCTCAAGGGGATTGTTGTTCAATTCGAACATGGACCAGCGTAAAGGCAAGTGATGATGAAGAAGAGCATCACAGAAAGGGTGGTGATGCGGGGGAAGTGCCAGCTACACAGTGTTGGGAGGGGGAAGGGGTACTTACTCTTGATGGAATTGGTATTGTTGAAGAGTGGTAGTAAGCGTACAAAGTGCTTGAAAGTGTTCAAGAAGAGCGATGTGAGATTTGGGAGGGCTGTTGTTGGTTGAGGTTGGTCAAAATTGGTCGTCGTTGATGAGTTGATTCGATGGGTTGAGAAACAGCTTGATGGGTTGTTGTGATGTGAGGATGATGGAGGGGAGGAGGGGAAGATATGTAGATGAGGAGAGCTACTCAGGATGCTTTTAAAGAACGAATGCTCGAGAAGAATGGCAGCCTATCACATCACGCGATCATCAGATAGCTTGCCCAATGGGGTGGCATGGCAAGGGGGGAAGTAGCGAGCAGGTCCGGAACGGCTGGGGGTTCCTTTGGGTAAGTTGGATCGCGTGACTTGATGCAACGGACGGAGGGGCTGCTGCAAGGGAAGCACATCAGGACAGCAGGAGCAATCTGGACGAGGAAAGGCAGGCCCAAGGGGAACTGGGTGCCACTGGGGGCACTGGGACACTGGACGGGGACCGGCCGGCATGGACTGGGAGTGGCCGGGAGTGGAGATGGACGTGGACTGACGCCAGACCAAACCTTCATTATGCCACCTTTTTGTTGTCCTTCGCTCGCGGCATTGAGGAATTGGAGACTAGGGAAGCTGTTGTCTTTGCTGGCCGGCCGGTCCCCAACATCACATAGCTCCACGCTTCACGTACCTTTTCTTTGCTATTCTATCCCTAACCCCTCCCTCTCATCCAGCTGCTTGGGGTTCTTGGTACCTAGGGCTTCAGTTGCTCGATCATCCAACATTGACCACTTTCCTTCTAGGACAACTGTTTCCAATTGTTCCTTCCTCAAAGAAATCTCGTTCCTTCTTCTGACAGATGTCCAGCCATGACTGATTGACCACGGGAGCACAGTGACGCAAAGGGGCCCACTCGGATCCGGGGTCTCAGGTACGAGCCCGCAGCTGGGACGGGTGGCCAGATTGCGGGGTAGTGGATACCTCAGTACCAACCGCCGCTAACCCGGTACATCGTCCAAGCCACTGCGCCCCAGCGCCCACCCAAGTACCGGAGCAGCACGAGACCAGTACCTACGAACCCTTGCCATCGAGCCATTTCAGGGCCGCAACTGATCCAAAACTGCCCATCGTCAGTCTCGTCTCACCCCCGTTGGTTCCTTTTTTGTCTCTCCATCAGTCGTCGTTATTGTCGCCATCGTTTGCTCAACCGCTTCATTTTCGTTTGTTTACATACATTCCTGCAAGGTAACGCCGCAAAGGCCTCAATTGTGCCATTCTGCTGCTTGGTTCCGAGGTCGGGGGGCCCAAGCTGGCACGTGTGGCTGAGGCAACTTCTTTCGTGCTTCGTTTGGGCCAATGTGGTAGCTTCACTATTCTGGCCTGAGCATGGCGCCTTACAACGACTCCATCACGGCAAGCTGCATCAACGGGGCACATGATCATGCTCATGCTCGGTGACTGCCGTCTCCCTTGCGTTTTCCACTTTCCAGGCTCCACGTCTCCTTACTACCCTTTGATTTGTTACCTAACGCATACTGCCTAACGGAGACCTCTTGAAGCTCCAGGAGAAACTGCTCAGCTTCCAGCTCAATGGGGAATGGGGATCCCCAATGCGTACTCCAAACCGTCAGCTGCCACAAACTCGCTTCCGTACCTTGGACCCCCAAGCCTCAAGGAATCCCGTCCCAACAAGCCTGAGATGCCGCTGCATCTCGCGGAGAATTGGCCGTATGACCTGGAATTCCGCGTTTCAATCTCGGTCCCCGAAACCCCTGGACCGGCCAAGCTTGTCAGGTCCGAGTCAATTGACCAATGGCCCCCACCCGGCTCACGCGGAGAGCTTTCTAGAGCTATCTCGAACCCAACTTCGCCTCCCCCGATCTCGCAATACATCCCATGCTGAAGCCTGCTTCGACTGCTCAATCGCCTTCCAACTTCAGACAAGATTGGATTCACGGCTTCGATTCGGAGCTTGGATCGGAGAGTTCACGAGCAGTAAGGAGATCCTCTCTTTCTCGGCCCTGTCCATAAACAGCTTGCACGTACACAACTCGTTAGCCCCCCCTGACTCGCACGAATCGGTTCCCCGCCGTCTGTGCACTTGGCAACACTCCTCTGATCTACCCTGCAGCTGGTTGTCTCGACGGCGTGCTTGACGTGTCTCCCATCTACCTGCCGCATTCCCATCAAGGCTGTCATCCCATTCGTCAGTTGGCAAACCGGCCGATGGGGGCCGGGTCCATCTTCTTACGATCTCCGGCTCCGTTTGCCAGGCTTTACTACGTCTCGGCCCTATTGACTTTATCTGGTCCGGATCTACTGTCGTATCTATCTGAAGCTTTATCTTCTGCGGGCCAGATAATGCTATCAGTGTGTGTGGATTATATGGCCATACCGACGATTGCGGAATGAATGTTTCCAACATTCTACCCATAGAGTCACGAAGGCAGAATTGGCAGGTAAGTGGCAGGCGATTTCGGAGTGCTCATCAGCCCCAACTGCCTCATTTACAGCGGGGTTCGGTTACTATCGATGGAGCTCGACGCAAGCGGCCACGCCTCAGCGTCCCCACGGGTACCGTGACAATTGTGCCGTGATTGTTCCACTTCTACCCTCGCATCGAACAGTCTCGACCTGGTATCACTGAAGATTGTGTGAGTCAAGTCTGTTATCACGACAACTTGCCGTGAGGCCTCAAACTTTCTCTGTACAGCAAAGAAACCTGATCGGCGTCGTCGTGATTGAGTCATCGAATCTTCGCCAACGTTCCACGTCACAACTGTCGACTCAGGACTTCGCCCTCTACTTGCGGGAGCTCATCCTCACGCACTCCCAACCCGCCAATCTAGCAGCATCATTCCCCTCATCACGAATTGCTCGTCGCACTGTCGTGACAACGTCGTGATGTAGAACTTTGTAGATATGTTGCAATTTATTCGCTCGCAGAGACGTCGCTCGGGCTTGGCCACATAATCGGGTCAATTTTGCAACGATGACTCTTGCATGCCTTGCCAAT